AAACACTTTTTCGTTTCAGCTGATGGAATGTAAAATTAATAATTGAAAGTTTTTTGTTATATTATATTATATTATATTATATTATATTATATTATATTTTAATTATAATTTCTCCTGGTTTTAGTTTTCTCTGCATGTTCACCACTTCAGAAGGCCTACCCTGCCTACGGCCTACCCTGCCCACGGCCTACCCTGGTTAGTACGTAGGATAATTCAATAAAAAACTATCTCATTTATTTCTCACAGACATTTCCTCATCTCTCAGGTACGCGGGGGGAGATGGTGCCCCCCGGAACGCGGACTCCCCCCTCACCCCCACATGCGCGCTCGACTTCAAAAAAGGTCAGGAATTTGAGATTTTTTATTTATCACCTTAATAATATTTCTGAACGTCTTTCTTGTAAGTTGTTTTTCTATTCTCTTCCTTTTCTGGATAGTCAATTTAGAAAAATTTACTAAAAGATTTTTCGCCCGAAAAACAAATTTTCATGGCTAAACGTTTTAAAAAAATTGTTTTCCAATTCACGAAAGACTCATTTCATCGATCTTGTAAAGCAAAGACTCCCATATTCACTGTTGGTAAGACAAAACTCAACTTTAGTCTCATGCCCAAGACTCACATTCATTGTTATCTTATTAAAGAGACAACATTTCTTACGGAGAATTCCTTTTCACTTCACGGAATTTACGAAAGAAGAAGGCCGTGTGGGGAGTTTTTATTAAAATACGAGGCGGTGTGGCGCGGTCTTTGATCAGCGTCGATATTGCCTAGAGCGTCGCCGCGATATCTCCCAGATTTTCCTGAACTTATTATATATTTTCATGTATTGAATTATTGCTTCCCAATGACGATATTGTTCACGTTATTAGATAAGATTGAATATGAATACTATTCAATCAACTGGTATTATTATTGGTATTACAATCAACTGGTATTATTATTATATTATTCAATCAATATTATTCAATATTATTCAACTGGTGCGATTGAATTATTGCATCAGTTGCTTATTATTGCCTTAATTATTTCATTGTAATTTCCTCAATTAAACACAGATACAATTTACACACATCCGCTAATTAATGCTGGTAATTATATCAAAATTTTAATATAAAAAATTATAACTAAATTACTAATAAACTTAATAATTATTAGGTAAGAAAATATATCATGTTCTGAAAATATATCAAAGAAAAATTCAATCACCAGTTTAAAACTCTAGGTATGCAGTATAATCAAAAGAAAGATTAAAGTAGGCATGCTTTTTCTTGAAGTTTTGAATTGCTAATGGCATTGGCTTCTGGAACATTTCTATGGATCTATAATGAAATTACTTGGCATTATCATTATCTTAATTTTCAAATACTTGGTCAATTATCGCTTGAATAGCATCTCTCTCTGCGCCCAAAAGGCGCTCGATATCTCTTTAATTAATTAAGAAAAGTTGCTTTTGAGAGCAGAGGATTGCACATAGCTTATCTCAATTGGCACTTTAATAAAAAATTCAATTTTGCTGTAATATATCGCCTTCCATGCCCTCCTTATTGCCTGTATTGTACACCGATTATTTGTGTTGTACACCGATTATTGCCACCGATTGTTGAGATTATTTAGCACGTAAATTTCACGCCACGCATAGTCTGATAATTGCTTCCGCAATTAAAAACTAATGCTTATGTCGTCGTGAATTCAGCCTGTATACTAACCTGACCTTATTATTGCCTCTTCATTCATTCATGAATTGTTGTGTACGAATGTCATCCTTAGCTGCGCGGTCCGCTCCATCTGACAGAACCTCCGTCGTGTTGTGCCATAAAATTTTAATGTTTCCGCATTGCTGTCACTATCTTAACCGCCACCCTCCCTCCACTACCATTGCTGTCACTACCATTGCTGTCACTATCTTTCCCGCCTCCTTGCTGCCACTATCTTAACCACCACCCTCCCGCCACTACCATTGCTGCCACTATCTTAACCGCCACCCTCCCGCCACTACCATTGCTGTCACTATCTTAACCACCACCCTCCCGCCACTACCATTGCTGTCACTATCTTAACCGCCACCCTCCCGCCACTACCATTGCTGCCACTATCTTAACTGCCTTTCTCCCGCCACTACCATTGCTGTCACTATCTTTACCGCCACCCTCCCGCTATTACAACCACCACCACCACACATTTTCGCCACAGCCGCCATCCGTCATGTCCATTACCGCCACCCACACTCCCGCCACCGCCACTTATTCCTCGGATGTATCCTTTAGGACATTGTTCCTCCGAGTCTTCTTATGTCGAGGCTTCCGGACCACAGTTCCTTCCATAGTTCCTTCTAAATCCATTAGAAAGGGGGACTTTTATTTGCAAATGTTTATTAGAATCGGTTTGTGATTTTTTTAGGTAAATACTGGACATTTGAGCAATATAAAGTTTCATTTATAATAAAGAGGAGATTTGAGTAATATAATGATCCAATATATAATAGAGATTTGATATAAAATAAGTTTGTAATAATTTATATAAAATTACAATTATAAAATAATTTTTAATACTCAATGGAGTGATCAGTGTTTTGACCTTATCGTGGTATTCTGATGCGTATATTGTGGTATTCTGATACGTATATTGCGAAAGTGACACAATATATATATCTGAATACCACAATATACGCAACTTAAAACCACAATATACGCATCAGAATACCACAATATACGCAACTTAACACCACAATATACGCATCAGAATACCACAATATACGCATCAGAATACCATAATATACGCATCAGAATACCACAATATACGCATCAGAATACCACAATATACTCAACAGAATACCACAATATACGCAACTCAACACCACAATATACGCATCAGAATACCACAATATACGCAACTTAACACCACAATATACGCACAATACGCGCGCGCGTGCGTGGTAATGAAGATGTCAACAATGCGGCGTCGTCACGCCAGTTGTGGCATTGGCTTCGGCTTAAGAAATTAGCCACGGCTTCAGCCGCTCAGCCGCGCACCCGAACACGTGTGCCGCTCGCCCTCGCCACGGCTAGAGGGAAGCCGGCGAGGGATTAGTGAACTGATTAGTGAACTGATTAGTGAACTGATTAGCGAACTGATTAGTGAACTGATTAGTGAACTGATTAGTGAACTGATTAGCGAACTGATTAGTGAACTGATTAGCAAACTGATTAGCGAACTGATTAGTGAATTGATTAGTGAACTGATTAGTGAACTGATTAGTGAACTGATTAGCAAACTGATTAGCGAACTGATTAGCGAATTGATTAGTGAACTGATTAGTGAACTGATTAGTGAACTGATTAGCAAACTGATTAGCGAACTGATTAGTGAATTGATTAGTGAACTGATTAGTGAACTGATTAGTGAACTGATTAGCAAACTGATTAGCGAACTGATTAGTGAATTGATTAGTGAACTGATTAGTGAACTGATTAGTGAACTGATTAGCAAACTGATTAGCGAACTGATTAGTGAACTGATTAGTGAACTGATTAGTGAACNNTTGTTTAGACCCCACTACTTCTCGCAGCACCAGTTTGTGAGCAGGTTAGACCCCAGTATTTCAGTCTCAGACCCAGCCCCTAGTTATCGCAACACCCAGTTTGTGAGCAGGTTAGACCCCAGTATTTCAGTCTCAGACCCAGCCCCTAGTTATCGCAACACCCAGTTTGTGAGCAGGTTAGACCCCAGTATTTCAGTCTCAGACCCAGCCCCTAGTTATCGCAACACCCAGTTTGTGAGCAGGTTAGACCCCAGTATTTCAGTCTCAGACCCAGCCCCTAGTTATCGCAGCACCAGTTTGTGAGCAGGTTAGACCCCAGTATTTCAGTCTCAGACCCAGCCCCTAGTTATCGCAACACCTAGTTTGTGAGCAGGTTAGACCTCAATATTTCAGTCTCAGACCCAGCCCCTAGTTATCGCAGCACCAGTTTGTGAGCAGGTTAGACCCCAGTATTTCAGTCTCAGACCCAGCCCCTAGTTATCGCAACACCTAGTTTGTGAGCAGGTTAGACCTCAATATTTCAGTCTCAAACCCAGCCCCTAGTTATCGCAACACCCAGTTTGTGTGCAGGTTAGACCCCAGTTAGCCCGTCGGCATCTCCCCGCTACTGCAGGCAGGCCGCGGGTCTGGCCGTCTGGCCGCGAAGGCCGCGGCCATTATGGCACCCTGTCTTGATTTAAAGCCTCTGCCTTTTGTTGGCCGCCGGAAAATAAAACCACGGGGCTTTTAACTGAATTTCCTGCATTGCTTTCAGATTCAATGGCGTTCATGAATAAAAATAATTGTATGTAAATCCAGAGGAAAGGTGCGTTAATTTTATTAATTTAACAGTCTGAAATTTAGTGGCTTTTCACTTAAATTGATCATCTTATCGTAAAACAAGCTAGTTATTATTCTAGGCAGCACATTCTTCTTATTATGTCTTAGATCCAATGAAGCTCTTGATGATACTTCTAACTTTCGATAATAATTTGGTGCAGACAACATCAACAATCGCTAAAACTCTTAAGCTGGCATTACCTACTACGCATAAACTTGTATCTTTAAACTTCATACTTAATATACTTAATACTCATGTTACGTGCACTCAAAATACCATCTTGATACTTCAAACCTACATTAACACGTACTCGTGTTACATGTTCTTAAAATAATACGACTAAAGGGATACTGTCAATGGACATTCTAAAGTTCCTTACTATTAATACACTGAAGTTAAAGATACAGGATCATACTACTTTATACAGGTAACTTACGGATAAATGTTAATGTAATAGTTCATATTTTTCTGTTAAAAAGTCGATGTAGAAGTTCGGAATTACTCTAACCATAAATTAACCATTACCCCTCGCCTACATTATAAAAATTGAAATATTTTCAGTGTCGGATAATTTTTACCAACATCCCTGTATTACTAACAACATTATCCCTGTATTACTCACGCCAATATCCCTGTCTTCCTTACACCAATATCCCTGTATATTTCATTACTCAATATGCATAAATAATTTCGCACCATCGTTAATTACTAATCATCCGTTAAGCTTACCTGTTAATGAATCAAATCATTATTCATATAAATGAATGCGTATCTTAACTCCCTCAAAAATCTCAATTTATTACGATATAAGAATTTGCAATGAAGGTATTTATTATAATGAGAGTTAATTTTAAATGGTAAATACATGGATGCACCTACCCTAGTCTTGACAACCCATGTTTCGTTCACTCTCACCTGGAGCAGCTCCATGGTTCCTTATGGGGTTTTTCATGGGCAAATATTCCAGGTCTCGGGGATTCCAA